AGTTGCTCGCTAACTGTTCCGTCACAAATGAGATGAATGAGGCTTCAAGCTCAGCAATCCCATTTGCAATTTGTCCTAGCTATGATTTTTCAACATCTAACATGGAAGGCATTTATCAAGGTTCACAATATTCTTCAGAAATGGCTAATCTTTATTTTTCAAATGGGAGTAGTACTTATATTATGAGCAATGATGAAACAAACCACTACATTGGTAATCCTAACCGTATTGTGGAAACAAGTTACCACAACTCCGAATCATTTCATCCATGGGACGACAATGGCATGGATCATCACCAAGAACTGAGCAATATCAATATTGAAAACCAGCCGGGAGCTGCTATTTATGAAAAGCTTCTGCAGCTTAATAGGGAGTCTGATCATGAGATGGCGATACGGGAACCTGCAATGGAAAATGAAGTTATGGTTTCCGAAAATTCTAAGAAAAGGCCTTGCAGTTCAGTAGATGTAAGTATACACAAGATCAAGCTTTAATTAATCTCTCTTTCATGCACTTAATTGGTGATGCTTATTTTTTTGTCGTATTTTTTTAACTTGAAAAAAGGAGAATGTGTGAGCATCTCCAATCATAAGTAAATGACTAAATTTTGTAGGTGCTAAAGAATCAGAGGAATGTGAAGGTGAAGAAGGGCCAAAAGGCGGTCTCAAGCGGAGACATTGAAGATAATGATGTAAGCACCAAAGGGCAGAGCTCAAGCAGTTGCTGCTCAGGGGACGATGACTCCATTTATGGTTCTCATCACGATCTGAGTAGAGGCGTGAGTACTTCAATCTTGAGTCCAAAGGGGACAAAAGCCAGTAGGGGATCGGCAACTGATTCCCAAAGCATATATGCGAAGGTAAGTCCATAAAGTACTCTGAAGTATATATTTACCAATTTCTTGAAAAAAGAGATTTCTATTGATCAATACTAGAGGGATGAGGATGTTGAAAGTCTTGAAAGTAGAAAATGTATAATTCTTGAATGGAAAATCACTGTATAACCCTTAGTTCATTGTATTAAAGTTGCTTTTTTTCCAATAGGGGTATAGTTGACATTTCATATGTTATGGTTGACGACAATGTTAGTATAGATGAAGCGCCTAGTAGTACAGATAAAACTGATCAAGTTTCTATGCATATCCCGCAGAAAAGAAGAGAAAAAATAAACGCGCGGCTAAGAATTTTGCAGAACCTTGTACCAAATGGAACAAAGGTAATTGTCAGCATATAAACTCTAATAATATAAGAGTTGGTGTAATTATTTAAGAGCCCCATGTAACTAAGTTCTCCTAATATGATTTTTTTTTTTTTTTTTTTTGTGGGCAATGCAGGTTGATCTCAGCACAATGCTTGAGGAGGCTATCCAGTATGTGAAGTTCTTACAGCTTCAGATAAAGGTAATACCAAAAAAAAGAGAACTGAAATAATGAAATATATATTCACGTTCAAGTTTAAATCTAAACGGAAGTTTTGATTTGATGATATAATAATATTGTTTTTTCGGTTTCTATTTTGCAGCTCCTAAGCTCGGATGATATGTGGATGTTTGCTCCTATCGCTTACAATGGAATAAACATTGGGATCGACTTAAATTCTTGATGAAACTCATAGGATGTAGTAGGAGGTCGATCTGCTATTTTGGTAGAACAGACTACAAAGTCTTTTGGCCATGGAAATAAGGGCACACAAAAATTAATAAAGAAACTAGCATCTGCCAATAATATTTAATTTCAGCATTACAAAGGGCCCCTGTTGAATACCTAGATTGCAGATGAATATGCGAATTATACAACTCATATTGGTGACGATGGATATAGTCTGTAAGAGGCCTTGTGTTGGTTTGATATTATTGTAAACTCAGATATGTGTTTCACATGTAATCTGATCCACGCTTAAGCATTGTTCTTGCGACAACCCAAATGGTTAAGAGCATTTACCTTGCGTTTGAGGTCCTGTATTTATTTTTTTAGTTTTTGTATAAAACTGAAAATTGCTTTTGAAATTTCAAACTTTCATTTTTGTGCCAGATATTTGATATATATTTTTTTAATGCCTTAATGCTGTTAACTTTCAGGATTTACTGTTTTAATAACAAAAAATGAAACATTTATTTGCAAAATTAAAAAAATATGACATATAGAAAATGAAATAGGTAGTTTTACTCTAAAAGACCTTAGTTACAAAACAAAATCTTAATGAAGAAAAAACACCTAATGGATTTTTTTAATCATAAGCACGAAAAACAAAACATGTCCAAACGATAACCAAAAACAGTATGGGCTTCTTAATATTGGATTTTATCTTTATGGTTAAAAAATCCTTGCTGAGCTGATTCAATATTGGATTTGGTCCTTATGGTTAAAAAAAATATATAAAAATGTGTTTTTTGATTAACTTAAAATTAATGAAGCCCTTTTCTGATCAAATGATCACCAGATTGTATTATTCTTAACAGATCTATGAGGACAGTGCCGGCTCTAAAGAGGTGCAAAATCTGCAACCGCACAGGTTTCTGATTTTTTGGGGTCCCCAAATTCTAATAAAAACCTTTATATATATATATATATATATATATATATATATATATATATATATAAGCGTGATCATGGTCACAAATTTGTTATGAGATGAACTCTAGATGCTAATAAAGATCATTAATGGTTATGATTATGGTATTTGTACGGTGATACAATAACTACATAGTCATCACTCCAAGCTTTTTGTATTTAAAAATTAAGGAGTTGGGAACAAAAAAACCATAGTATTTCAGATAGGTGCATACCACCACATTATGCTTCATGTTGTTTTTTTCATTATATCAATTTAATCCATAACTAAAAAAATATAAACTATAAAAGAAAATATAGCAATCAAAATTTTTAACCATGTAAGGGCTCCCGTTTGAATCCCGTACAGGGCCTCCAAAATCTGAAAACCGGCCATGCATGAGGATAATGTCCTAGAATCATATGATCCTAATCTCAAGAGAGAAAAACATAGAAGAAACCCTCTGTCGTCAACCTTTGTCTTTGGCCTTGGAGTCGGTGGCGTGAATCCCTCTTGGGTTTTTCCTTTCTTCTCCTTCTTGCTTCTCCTATCTTCTAACCATTTTCATCCTTTGGTTGCGATTGATCGTTTGCTTTAAAAATTTTGTGGTCTCTCTCTCGCTATTTCACGATCGAGAGCCCTTACCACGTCTATGGATTATGGCTCAAGTTCAAATCTTTGAGCAGTGACTGTTGTTTAGAATTGAGGTGGTGGTTTTTGTGTTTCTTGTGATTTGTAAGCATGAAAAATGATCATGTTGAGAGAGCTAGATGTTTATTGGAGACGATTCATACCAATGCTTCTCTGTCGATGCAAGATCATCAGTGAGTGGTGCGCTCTTTTTTCTTGTGGTGCGCATTTACGGTACTTCTCTAACTTGCAAGTTCTTGAAAGTGTTATCTCTTTTTGCTGATTGGATATGAGCCCTCCGTGGTTTAAAAAATGTATTGTATATATCTTGATGAGGCGAAACAAAAGCTCTTTCTTTTTTTTTTTTGTTGAGTAGTAGTACAAGTAAGTCTTGAATGAGCCCTCGTAAGATTGTAGGGGTACAAATTCGTTAGGACTGAAGTCGACGAATTCTTGCTACCATATATATCCCCTCTTCACCCTTTCACCTTCCTAGTAACTAAAAAGGTAAAAAGAAAACGTAGTTTTCGAATAAAGAGAGCAAAACAAAAAAAAAAAAAAAAAAAAGTTATCTATGAACATATAATCAGCAATCTGTGTCCAATTTTCGACAGAGAATTTGCAGCTACATTTGTTTTACAATATTAATAGCCATAACCGATTTCTTACAATTGATATCTCTTTGCGTTGGGGGAACTTGATATCTGATGGAAAGGCTCATTGTGGATAGTCAGAATTCTACAAACAAAAATAAATTTGTGACTCTCAAAAAATGATTGAAAATAGTTTTTGTAAAATTGATTTTGAGTTCCAAAAACATTTTTAAGTGTTTTGGTGAAGAAACACCAGATATGTTTTTCTTGCAGGAAACACTTCAAAGTGTTTTTCCAAGATCCACTTGGATTTTAATTACTAATGATTCGTTTCAAAAACATTTTCACCAAAAGCGCTTTCAGTCATTTTAAAAGTACTTCCAAATGAACCCTAACTTGATAAGATCCCCAACTGGCAATCCAATTCCTTCCTAGCGCGTTTAGCATTTTTCCCCTCGTTGTACTCTGTTACTACATTATGGCTTTTATTATTTTTTATAATTTTTTCGATCATAATATTTATATGTATTTAATACAATTACTATTTCATAGTCAGATATAATTCATGTGAATATATATATATATATATATATATATATATATATCAAGAGACCATAGATGACCGCCGAGATGGTAATTGTATTAAATACATATAAATATTGTAGCCAAGTCAGTAAGTTTAACATGGGCCGGAGTGTTGGAATTTTAATAATTTTTTATGCAAGAGACCTTTGATCTTGGGTGCAAGGGTAAATGTTCTTAACCAACTGAGCTACAAGCCCTTTACAAGATTATTGGAATTTAATTTTAGATCATTATTTAATGGGGTTTTTATCACAAATGGTCCCTGAAATTAACCCTCACCATCAAGATGGTCCCTAAAATTGAAAATCAATCAATGTAATCCCTAAAAATAGGTGTCACAAATCAATGTGGTTCTTCCGTTACAATTCTGTTAAAAATTATGTTAAGTACTGATATGACACGTAAATTGGCCCCATAAGTCCCTTTTTTTTTCTTTTTATTTTTTTTTTCCACAAATGGTCTTTAAAATTTACCCACGACATCAAAATGGTCCTTGAAATTGACCCGAGATAGCAAAATGGTTCCTGAAATTGAAAATTGATAAATGTAGTCACACAAGTAAGTGTCTCAAATCAATGTAGTCCTTCCATCACAATTCTATCAAAAATTATGTTATGTGCTGACGTCACACATAAATGGGTCATAGAAAAATTACAAATAGGCTTAATAATTTACTAATAAAAAAATTGTCAACCCAAAAACTCAGTCTTGCAATCACCTCCAATTCTAGTCCACATTTCTCTAACTCCTTCGCTCTTTATTCTCTAAAAAACATTACCAATACACTACTACAAAATGACCTGTAACAATCGACAAGAAAACATAAATTCTATTGGATAATAGGTAAAAATCCGACATAAACTCATGCAGTATATGATAAAAGAATCGACACCATTGCTACCATCGCAAAAAGGCTTTTGATGTCGGTTACTCCCCTTAATCCGCCATGAAGAAGGAAAGCAATATAAAATAAAATAAAGGATAGTAGTGTCGGATAAAAGGAACATTGAAACTCACGTTGGATATAGACGACATTAAAAAGGATAGCAGTGTCCGTCCTAACCGACACCACCTAACTATTTAATAAATAAAATAAACAACAGTATTGTCGGCCCTAACCGATGCCACCTAACAATTCGATAAATAAAATAACAACTATATTGTCGCCCATAAGCGACACCACAAACTATTAATAATAAAAATAATAAAAAGTTTCCTACCACAAGTAAACAGCTCCATGAGTTATTGAGGAAACACGACTGTTTTCAGCTGATCTATCACTAATGCATTCGAAAACAAAATATGTCATTTATTCAGTTTGTATCGTCAAATGATAATGCATTCCATATCCATTCACACATGTTGCAGATCCAGCAAAATCTCAGCACAGATGAGTGTATACCTTTCAGATCTGAAGATGTGTCAGTTGATAATTTGTTTTCCTTTGGATCTGCAACTTCAACATTTCCTTTTCTCAGATATACCCTAGGTAAATATGAGACATGCCATGATACATAGCCATATTTTTTAAGATCAAACCTACAGCATGTACAAACAAGTTTTCTTACCTTTTGTTTGCTTGGAACTGTGATTTAACCAAGCCACTCTTTGCCATTTCCCTTGCAAACGCCAGATCAGCCATTGTTCTGCTCACAACCAGAAACAAAGAGTTCACATTCATATATGAACAAATTTAATGCATGCCGAGCTCACATCAGTGAAGGGAAACCAGAAAAGATTATAACATTTCTTGTAGATTAGTTGAGATCGGACGTTTGGGGACGAGTACCGTGACTGTTGGACCTCTGCATCTATCTTGGGTTGTATATGCAGCAGCCGTACATGTTGATGCAACGGATTTTTTACCCTTTTTGTTTCTCATCTGAGCTGTTGGAGTGTTATTCTGCCTTTTCCCATTATTTCTTCGGCAGATCCAGAAACTCGTACACAAATCAAACAAGCAAATGTTAGTTTGCTTCTTATTTCTATATAAAAATCATCAAATGGACACATATTCAACAATGGCAGGGTCGATGTTTACCTTTGTGGGAAGATTGGAGCTTAGATGTGCCTACATTTCCATGGCAAACTCACTGGTTTTGGGTTTTTGCAAAGAAGAGTGAGTAATGAGGTGCGGCTAGGATTCTTCATTATAAGGAAATGAGATGCAGCTAGGGTTCTGATATTAAAGGGAGATAGGGCTGAGAGAAATGAGAGAGAGAGTTCTGATATTATTAAGAGAGAAGATAAATAAAGAACACCAACCTGTCAGCTACAATCAACAAGAAGTTTTAAAATATTTAAAAATAATTATTAATGTCGGGTATAAGCAAAACGATTCTCTTTTTAACCGACATTAACTTTTTGTCAGTTGAAAGCGACACAATTCTTTTTTTATACGACACAACCATTTTAAAAGATTAAAAACTACGTTAGTTATAAGCTACATTAATAGTCTATGTCGGTTATAAGCAACATAGACAGTTTATGTCGGTTATAACCGACAATTATTATGACACCATGTAAAGTGGCTGTCGGAAATGTCTAATCTACCACTATATTATATAAAACGGACACAATAAGCCACTTTTGTAGTAGTGATACATGTACGTTTACACACTTCGACGCCCTTCACCGAATTGAACTTGGATCGAGATCACATTTGATGATGGCTTGGCCCATTGGCAACAACATATGGGACATCACCGTTAACATTTTGGGCAATATCCTCACAACCTTAATCTTGGAGAACTTGTTTGGCGCTTCCCTAGTGGTCTGTAATGCAAAGAACGGCGAGGTTTACCTTGACATAATGAGGTTATAATCCAGATGCGTCTATTGTTGGTTGCAAAATATTTCCACGCCGCCTCTTAGGCCTTGGTTAAGCCATGTGCCTTTGAGAATTTATGAAAGGGATCTCTCTTCGGAATAGGCCCTACTATAAGGAAAAAAAAATTCATTGTGCAAAAAGGTATTTAGACAACTTTTTTTAATTAATTATTAAACCCACATCAGCAAATAAATTTTTTTTTTACAAAATAATGGCGGAAGGATCATATTGATATGAGACACCTATTTTCAAGGATTACATTAATTGATTTTCAATTTCAAGGACCATATTGATGGTGTGGGTCAATTTCAAGGACCATCTTGATGGTGTGGGTCAATTTCGGGGACCATTTGTGATACAAACCCGTAAATCTTGTGGGGCCTATTTATGTGTCACATCAACACTTAACGGAATTTTAAATAGAATTGTGATGGAAAGACCACATTGATTTGTAACACCTATTTTCAAGGACTACATTGATTGATTTTTAATTTCAGGGACCATTTTGATGGTGATGGTCAATTTCAGAGACAATTTGTAAACAAAACCCATATTTAATATGTTTATATGGGGTTTACCTATAGAAGCTTTTGTTGGCTTGTCACCCCTTGAAGTTTATGATACATTATTTGAAGGCATAAAGTCGTTGTTTGAGAGCTTAGTATTTTAGATTTAGTTCTCAAGATTTGAGTTGTAGCTAAAGCCAATGGTATATGAAAATGCAAATTCTAAAAGAGATAGTTTACTGAAAACGTAACCGTAAAGTTGAAGGTGAATTTTTTTTGAAGTGTGACAATCATACCAGACACAAATATACGTTAAGCAACGACTAGGGGGCCGGTTCGACAAAAAAAAAGAAAAAGAAAAAGATCGGGGGCCGGAAAACAAAGTAGAAAACACCAGGCACAAAATTAATCATGGGGTTGTAGCAAGGGCGAAGCTAGAGATGATGTTCATGGGGGCATAACGTGGAATTCTAAAACCAGTTTGTTCTTAGTAGTACTTTACACATGCATTATACATCTACTATAACTTGTTGAAATTAAATTCTTTCAAATGTGGGACATTATGTGCTCATAATGAACCATAACATAACAATCATTAGGTCGACCATGGAAAAATTCAGCTTCATTATTTTTAATTATAATTAATAACTATTAGCCGCACGAACGATGTCTATTAAGTTTGACCGAAAAAAGATTAAATTACACGTTAGAAGTGTGCTTTGCCTCGGTCTTGCCTCTTGGCCGCTATGAAGTGTGAACGGCCATGGGCATGCAGGGCTGGCTATACCAAATTCCAGCTCTTACATGAAAAACAAATAAAGGTGCTTAGCCGCCCAACTATGTTAGAAATGAAAGAAAAACATGAGAGTATATTTTCCGCGTAGAGAAGGAAATCAGATTATTTTAAAAGGGTTTCATATAGTCTTAATTATGATTGCTATTAGTTATAATCAAAAGAGTTTGGATTATTTATTATAGTTTGAAGTATTGAAAGAGATTTTGTTCCATAATTTTTAAAAGCTGAGTTAGCTTAATTAGCATGTCGTGCGAGATTGGACCGCACTCAGATCAGAAAGCATGCAAGTTATGTATTACAATAATAAGTGGATGGATGATTTGGTCTTGTATGTACGCGTGGAATGAGCGCGAAGATCGCCGGCATCTTAGTTTTGGATTTTGATTATCGGCCATAGATGATGGTCTGGTTCTGATGGTCTTCACTTACTCGTGTGACACGTCCCAATCCTGATATTCCCCGAATACCCGGATAGGCACGTGCTAGCCAACACCCGAGGGCGACGAAAGCCAGCACGTGTCTATCCGGGTATTCGGAGAATATCGGGGTTGGGACGTGTCATCGTGTGTGCAAAGTATTTGAAATGCTTGATTGCTCCGTGATGACTTTCCATAATAATTAACTCATTTGTTAATTAGTGACTTGTGCATAATTGTTTAATTAAGAGCATTAAGCTAAATACACTAGCCTCCTCCCCATATGTTAGTGTGTGTGCATAATCTTAATTTCACTTTGTCTTTTTTAAATTAAAATGTGTCACTAAACTCCCTAAAAGTTTTACTTTTTGTTCCACTTTGCCTCATTCCGTCACATTTGTAAAAAATCTCAACAACAGTTGCACTTTGATAAGAAGATGAGGAAGCAAACGCTCTTAAGAAAAGATCATTTGGAGTCATTCTACTTTTGTTCTTTGTATTTTTCTTCTGTTTTTTACTTTTAGAATTGTGATCCAATCTCCTTAAGGGATATGAAGTCAATGAATTTCCAACTTTCAATTTGTGAACCAATAGAGTTGTGCTTGAACTCCAAACTTCCAATGATTAGTTGAGGTGTAGATGGCAGTTATAGAATCTTATCTAACACTTATATTATATGGATCAATGTCATTGGATTATATGTTATAACAACATCGAGAGGGGACAACAAATCCAGTCTGAAGATAACACTGTCTGGACTCTGGTTCAAGAAATCTTTGGAGTATGTTAAGACTTTAGACCCTTGTAGCAGGATCTCAACAGCCTATTTGTTCATGTCACTCTATACTCCCACGTTGTTTTGGTTGGTTGCCAGGTGTGATTCTTTCCACCAACTTCACCACATCTCATTCGCTCAAGCCTCAATAATCTCTCTTCGCAGAAGTAAATTTTAGTGCGACGGCCGAGAGGGATGCGGAGCTAAGAATTTACACAGGAATGGGTTAGTATTTTTCTTTTGTTGGAGCATAGAGTGCAAATTAGGTTTAGGATAGGCTAAAATTTTGTTTCTCACAAATTTATGCTAAATATTAGTAGTAAATTAGTAACATCAGACTTTTCATATGCACTAGGCTACAGCCCATTACGGGAGCCTACAGCTGGATTCGCCTTTAAGTACAGTTAAATCGTCATGTAGTATTATTAATCTATGTGTTATAATATGGGTGAAGATAAGTTAGAAATATATTTTTTTTGAATTTGGGTTACTATCAATAAATAATCAGTGTTATAATATCTGTGATCGGTAATACTGGGTGGGCGTGTGATTGTCATACGCCTCAGACCAAACCCCTTTCTTTAGGTACGAACTAATCATATAGTGATAATTACTTGTCCATGACAGTACGTAGTACTAGTCCCTTCACTCGGGAACCATTATTTCTGCATTATTTTTGAGGTTATGTTATTTAATTTGGTCCCATTTGAGCTGTCCTTGGCCCCAGCAGGGACTCCTGTAAATTGGTTTTCAAAGAATTATGACTTGTTATAGCATTGTTCAGATTAACTAAACCCTGGATATGGTTAATGACATTATTCTTTATTATTATAATTGAGTTCATAGGTGGGTATAAATATAGCTTCATTTCATCCCCACCACTCATTCATACATCAACTCTTAGAGCAAAGGCAAACCTTTTTGTTCCTTTTTTCAGGTCGAAAACCCTTTTTGTTCCTTAGGCAAAAATGGAGGATATTGGAGCTGTTTCAGAGGGAGAATGGACCTCTCTCAGTGGGATGTACACTGCTGAGGAGGTAGATTTCATGTCCCAGTTGCTTGGAAATTCTTCAAACCGGACATCAAGCATGGGAATAATTCCAGAGGCTTTTTGGCCTGGAGGCTACTATGAAGGTGCACTTTATTGTTCATCAGAAACTTCTGATTCAAATTCACAAGAGGGTAATTTGAGTGGTGGTACTAGGACTTTTTACCCCACTTCAAGCAATGAGAGTTACTACTTGAATGAATCTTCTCAACCCATGTTGGCAACAAACAATAATAACATCTCTATGTCTATTGATTTTGATGCTGGGGATGTGATCAAAACCCTAAATTCCTATCTCATTGAAGGAGATCATGATCAATGCTTGAACCAAGAAACAAGTGAAGGCAATCCAGAAGAGTGTGGCAGAAACCCAGCTGAAGCTGTGGCTCTTGGCAATCAGAAATTTGATATGACTGCTGCACAAGAACAATCCTTGGAGGAAATTAACCCCACCAAGAATTCATTGAAAAGATCTCAAGGCTTAGAAAATGTAAGTATATTTTTCTTACCCTTTAGTCAAACAATTCTTGATTATAGAATGTTACCATTCTTCAAAAGAAATAAAAAAGAGGCAGGAGTTGGTTTATGTGCGCATTTTCTGATAATAAATTCAATGCAGGTTCAAATGAAAAAGATGAACATAAAGGCAAAGAAGAGCCGGCAGGTGACAACTAGCAACAATGAAGAAGACTGTACTACTGCCGGGCTCAACAGACAGAGCTCCAGTTGCTGCTCAGTGGAAGATCAGTCCAATGTTGCCTCACATTCCCATGAGAATTCACAGGAGCTGAGTGGAGGGGTTAGTGTTACTTCAACTTCAAACCTGAGTCCAACAGTTGCAGCTCTCAACTTGAGTGGCAAATCAAGAGCTAGAAGGGGGTCAGCCACTGATCCCCAAAGCCTCTACGCAAGGGTGAGTTCCTATATATACCCTACAAACATCGTTTAATTGGCTTAACCTTGTCTATTTTCCTTTGGGGAAATGATATATGCACACCAATTTCTCAACTTGTATGGTCCTTTTTATTTTTATCTCTTGATTTTTGTTTAATTTATTCAGTCGAATACCAGAAATAAACCTGGTGTGTTAAAATCACTTTCCATATGTAAAAATAAGCTCATTTTTCTGTTTCCCTTTTGTCTCGCAGAAAAGAAGAGAGAAAATAAATGAGAGACTGAGAGTCCTGCAGGGCCTTGTGCCCAACGGAACAAAGGTAGGCATAATTCCTTGAGACATAATATTTTGCCCAAAAGAACATTGCTGCGATTAAATTCTCAACTATCTAATTTGGATGCTTCGAAATGCAGGTTGATATTAGCACAATGCTTGAGGAAGCTGTCCATTATGTGAAGTTTTTACAACTCCAAATTAAGGTAATAACAAAATCAAATGGTATAATTAAAAAGGTTTAAAATGAAATCTGAAACAATAATATTATTTAGAGACGCACAAAAAAGACACTCTATAGTGTGGTTAGGCCTTACTACTGGACGTAGGGCTCACATGCATTAAAGAGTGTCTCAGCAAAAATGTTAGTCTTATGTTTCCATATAGCATAACTCTATCTGAAAATAGATACTGATATAGTTTTGTTTTTTAATTTGTCTCCTTGTGGTTTTGTAGCTGTTAAGCTCTGATGATATGTGGATGTATGCTCCCATCTGTTACAATGGAATGGACCTGGGGCTTGATCCGAAGCTCACCACACTACAGCAATCATAAGAAAATGCTTTGGAACTCTATACTCCTCTCAACTCTCAACTTATGTAACCACGTTGAGACAATTGTTCGTAAAGAAGTTAGGTTCTACAGCATTTTTCAACAAAAAAAATTAGGGCTGATTTGGTATTGTTGTACTTTAAAAAAAAACTGCTTCTGCTGTGCTGTTTAGTATTGCTATGCTTTGAAAAAATACTTCTTCTGTTGTGTTATGAGAATAAGCAGCTATGAAATAAAGTAGTTGAGTGTTTGGTAAATTTTTTTTGTAAAAGTGCTTTTGAAAAGAAGAAAAAAGCAGTATTATAGTGTTTAATAAACTTTTATGTAAAACAGATATGAAAAAAAAAATTGGTTTTTCAAAGCTGGGTTTTGCAACTTTGTGTTTTTGGCTTTTTTTACCCAAACATGTGAAAAAAAGCTGAAGCTGAATGTTTACCAAACATAAAAAAGCTTCCATCTTTTTTTGATAGCCACTTTTTTTAGAATCACCTCAGTACCAAACTAGGGCTAAGTAGCTGAGTATTTGATAAACTTTTTTGTAAATTTGAAAAAAAAATAAATAAAACAATATTATAACGTTTGATAAACTTTTATGTAAAACAGATGTGAAAAAAAAAATGGTTTTTCAAAGCTAGGTTTTGTAGTTTTGTGTTTTTGGCTTTTTTCACCCAAAATTATGAAAAAAAAAACTGAAGTTGAATGTTTACCAAACATAAAAAAAGCTCCCATCTTTTTTTGATAGCCAGAGTGTTTGGTAAACTTTTTTGTAAATTTGAAAAAAAAAAAAAAAAAGCAATCTTATAGTGTTTGATAAACTTTTATATAAAACAGATGTGAAAAAAAGCTGGTTTTTCAAAGCCGGGTTTTGCAGCTTTGTGTTTTTGGCTTTTTTTCAACAAAAACTATGAAAAAAAGCTGAAGCTGAATGTTTACCAAACATAAAAAAGCTCCCAGCTTTTTTTGATAGCCACTTTTTTTCAGAATCACCTCAGTACCAAACTAAGACTTAATTATGTAGAGTAGTAAAGTCATAAATAGTACTTAATTATCAAGTCCTAATTATTTTATCGAATTGTAGCAACTGAGCTGTGAGCTCCACTGCCAAAACTAGATCTCCTACAATTTGCTCATTTTTGGTTGACAGGCTTGATTATGTTTCCGTGATAGGATAATTATCCTGCAGCTGCTATTCTGAATAGCCAGGAGGATGGATCCAGGAAGATCTTAGGAATCCTTCAATTACATCTATTCATCGTATATTGTGTTATCAGAAATTATTGTAAATTTTTTTATTTAAAATTAAATATAAAGAGTATCTGACAAAAAATGGTCGTACGATATACGATAAACGGATATGATTGAAGGATTCCCGAAATCCCTACAAAGAGGATCCAGTAAGGATCATCTCTCTCCTATTCTTGTACTTCAGAATGATGACAATAAAGGTGATGTTAGGTTTTCCAAAAAAAATAAATAAATAAAGGTGCTGTTGGAAAACACTCCTAGTGTTGAAAAGTCAGGTGGGTAATGAATGCCCACATGGAAACTAAAGACATTGGGTAGATTTTCAATGCCCATAAAATCAATCTTGACTTGGGAGATGAAGAAAGATTATATTGTCAAAGATGTGTGCTTGGAGTTGCTCTATAAATAGAGCACTCCGTATGCTTTGAATAGTGAGCAGAAAAAAAAGGCGAGGAAGAAGAGAGGAGAGAATACATAGAGTTATTTTTGTACTCCTATTATTCCAAATTATAATGAAAGCATCACTGCTGCCCGAGGACGTACTCCAGTCACACTAACTGTAGAGGAACCTCGTAAATTTTGTGTCTTATTTTATTTATTCCACTGTACACACATCGTCGATTTTACAACACGTTATCAGCACGAGAAACTCTCATATCAGTCGAAAGCACAACGCCATAAATCCGGTGAAGCACTATCCACCTCTCACCTCCGTCATCTAAAATCTCACAAAATAAAAGTTATGTCCATTTTTCATCTCTCCCACTGCGCCAAAAGCGCCCCACCGAATTTCGATGAAAATTGAAATTTACAACCTGAAGTCGTCACGAGATGAGAAAACTCGTACCTGACAATTAGTTTCCAGAGATCTAGAAGAATCTCATCAGACTTGGAAACCCAGATCACATTGTTTTCGACGAATCTTGAGAACTCCCATGAATACTTGGTTGTTTGAGATGGTGATGGCAAGAATGATTCCACACAGGTCTCCCTCTCTTGTGCCTCCGTCAACCCCACTGTTATCTATGTCTCGGTATGGAGGTTCTTGCTTAACGATTACATGTTCCCTGGGTCATGCAAGAACAACGCCAGTCTCTAGTAGCCTTTTGGATTGAATTGAATTTGAGCAACCTCCATAACTACCCAACTGGCCTTGTGTTTCGAGACTGGCAGAGACAGAAAAGGAAGAAAAATAATAGAAAAGGGGGATTGATGGAATGGCAAGGCACATGTGAAGAAGAAAAAAAGAGATGTTGACTGCAACCTAAGAAAAAAAGTATATGAAAAGGATTTGAATGGTGCATGACACCATTTAGTCAAAATAATATAAATAGGTTTCTGTTGGTGCATGACACCATGCTGCAGAAATAAGAAAAGTAACAATAATAAGGTTTGAATAAGTGCTGACAAAAGAAAGAAAAATAATAAATAAAAGGAGGTATGATACTTCTTGTTATTTATGTGAATTGGTGTTGGTTTAAAACCCTTTCACAAGTTCTATTTACTTTAAAGCAATTTATTTATCATGGACGGTTTTACTGCCTACTGCTTTAAGTTTTGATTTATGTGAATGGTGCTGAATTAAAGCCCTTGTCACAAGCTTTATTTACTTAAATGCAATTTATTCGTTATGGCTAGAATTACCGCCTATTGCTTTAATTTATTGTACTTCTTTTTGTTACAATTAGTACATACTGGACCCGAAATTCCTTGATCAGATCAGAACCTGCAGTTTCTTGATCCTCATCAAATAAAAATGATTGAACCTGAAGTTCCATCAAACAAAAAGATTGGGCATGAAGTCCTTTGATCCTCAAGATCAGGACATGAAGTTCCTTGATAAGTACCTTAAGTTTGAAGTGTCGCAGTGCCTTAACTTAATTGCAATAAAAGCCATAAAAATCTCAGTCTGCAGACTATTAAATAAGGATCAGAAGTTCCTTATGTCCATACTCAAAAATGGTTTAGCAGAAGCATTTATTAAGCGAATGAAATTGATTACCCGCGTTCTACTCACGAAAATAAAATTGCCAGTTTTTACATGGGTACATGTCATTTTACATGATTGATTATTGATTTGGTTGAGACCTGTTGATAACCATCAATACTTCTCAGTACAACTCGTGTTTGGGAACCAGCCAAACATTATACATTTACGAGTTTTTTGTTGTGTTATCTATGTGCCTATTGCACTGCCACAACATACTGAAATGAAGCATCATTGTGGATTAGGCATTGATGTAAAACATCATCTATCATTCAATATTTAAAACCCTTGACTGGGGATATATTTACCGCGTGGTTTGCGAACTGTCATTTTGATAAGACAGTTTTCCCGCCGTTAGGGGGAGAAAACAACTTCGTTTCAGAAGAACGATGAGCAAATATCATTCCAGAAGAATGATGAGAAAAAACCGTTCCAGAAGAACAAAGAGAATTTGTCTTATTTTGATTTACAAAGCAATCAATGTGAAAATGAAGTGAGAATAATTGAATGATGCAAAGATATGCAAATCAAATGCCAGATGCATTTAATGATGCAACGAAAGTGATGAAATCACATATACTTGCTGCAAATGTGCCTACAAGAATTAATGTCCCTGTTGGACAAAATAATATGGCAACAAATGATTTATCTGTTGCACGCCTTAAGCGTGGCAGACCCTCAAACTAAAAAGGTTCAGTCCTTCAAAAGAAGAAGAATATGGCACTACTAAACTATTGCATTCCTGAAGCATAACTGTCGCATGCCAGACGCATGACAGTTGCCGCAAGGATACTTGTCCCGAAAAGGTCAATCCGTAGACATGGGAATATTGATGTCTCATGCATGAAGCATGATAGACGTATAAGTTCCAATGACTCAACTCCCGAAGTGGAGATTAAAATCCAAGCTCTATAACGCTCAAAAGGAGGTTATGATCCGCATTCTCTAAATTATAACTATCCTATAAGAGATAGTGTAATGCCCTTGAAGAGACCCAAAAGAAATGAAAAGCTTTTATGCATGCGCATGCACATGAGAATATGGGATCACAGATCGATGATAACCAATGGTAATTTTGGTTTTTACAAGTAGCTACTAAATTCATCAATGAGCAGTGGTGATATTGAGTCCCGTTCTTTTTCCATCAACAAAATTATGGGCTAAAAGTGGATAAAGGCAAATCCATTACAATTTTGTAAGAACGTAGAAAAATAGACCTATATACTTGGATACAATACAAATAGCCAAAAGATGTTGAACCTAGAAGGTTACATATGGGCATTTGTAATACCATGAAATACACTCATATGATATGACACAAGGTTGGAAACGAGTTCGTATAAATGGAGAATTATATACAAAGGGTTATGAGTCGCCCACATCATATCTCCATAAGTAAATCCCTTAAATATACATGGAAACGAATTGCTTTGTATAAATTCTAAGGGAAAATGTGTCATGAAATATAGAAAATCCCTGAAGGATTCAAATTGCTTGAAGAAAACCCCGGAAGGGTAAAGCATAAAATATGTACTCAATACCAATGGATGATATAAATTGCCTTAGTGAGTACTTTCATTATGGTATTGTTGCAACATACTAAAATCACTTGCAAGAGTTGATGATATTAAATTGGGACTCCTGAAGAGTCAAGAAAGATTATAAAGTGTTGAGAGAAATATTATCTCGAACTGCAGAATCGAACAATATGCCAACACGAATCTTATCCATGATGTTTATGACGTGAAAGAATCATATGAATTGAAGATTT